TCTTGCTCAGGCTGGTTTCAAACTCCTGAGCTCAAACAATCCGCCCGCCTCGGCCTCCCAGAGAGCTAGGATTACAGGCGTGAGCCACCGTGCCCGGCCTAAAAAGAAGGAAATTTTGACACATGCCATAACATGATATTATGGTAAGTGAAATAAGCCAGTCACGAAAAGTCAAACATTGTATGATTCCACTTATATGAGATAATTAGAGTAGTCCAAATCATAAAGACAGAAAGTAGAACAGTAGTTGCCAGGGGCTGGGGGAAGGGAGGAATGGGGAGCTAGTTTTTAATTGGTATAGAGTTGAAGTTTTATAAGATTAAAAGAGTTCTGGATATGGATGGTGATGATGGTTGCACATTATGCATGTATTTAATACCATCAAACTATATACTTAAAAATGTTTAAGATGGGAGGGGGAGGAGGGGATGGGTAAATTCACACCTAACAGATGTGGTCTGAGGAATGGGCAGGCTTATAACTCTGACTAGGGCCGTGTAAACGCAATTTATGTAACCAAAGCGTTTGTACCCCTGTAATGCTCTGAAATTAAAATAAATAAAAATAAAAATGGTTAAGGAATCTGAATAGACATCTCCAAGGAAGTTATACAAATGCCTAATAAACACCAAAACGTTGTTCAACATCATTAGCAGTCAAGGAAATGGAAGTCAAAACCCATAATGAAATATGACTGTGTACCAACTATTAATAGGATGGCTATGTTCAAAAGATCACTTAATAAAAAACACTGGTGAGAATTTGCAAAAATTGGATGTCTCATACATTGCTGATGGGAAAGTAAGATGGCACAGCCACTTTGAAAAACAGCGTGGCAATTTCTCAAAAGGTTAAACATAGAATTACCATATGACCCAGCACATGACTTCTAGGTATATGTAAGTATATATATCCATACAATGGAATACTATTCAGCCATAAAAAGAAATGAAGTACTAATACATGGTACAACATGGATGAACCTTGAAAACATGCTAAGTCAAAGAAGCCAGCCATAAAAGACCAGATAGTATGTGATTCCATTTGTATAAAATGTCCAGAATAAGTAAATCTATACAGAAAGAAAGTAGGTTAGTTTTCTGGGCTTGAGGGGGGGTGGGTAGTTCTAGGGAAATGGGGTGTGACTGCTAATGGGTACATGGTTTTTTTGGGGGTAATGAAAATATGATAAAATTGATTGTGGTGGCCGGGCATGGTGGCTCACACCTGTAATACTAGCACTCTGGGAGGCTGAGGCAGGAGGATCGCTTGAGCCCAGGAGTTTGAGGTTGCTGTGAGCTAGGCTGACGCCACGCACTCTAGCCTGGGCAACAGAGCGAGACTCTGTTTCAAAAAAAAAAAAAAAAAAAAGTTTGAGGAAAATAATTTTATTAAAAAAAAAAATTTGTGGTGATAGTTGTACAACTGTGAAAATATGAGAAACCATTGAATTGTGCTTTAAATGGGTGAATTGTAATATATGTGAACTAAGCAGTTTTTAAAACATTTTAAGGCTTATTAAAGTTATACATAAGGTTTTTATAATTGAAAGAAGGAAGGAAGAGAAATGAGTTCCACTATTGCACAGAGAAAACAGAAAACCTCGAATGTAAGATTGTCTCAAGAATAGTTGATTTTAAAAGTTCTGATTAATATTTAACTGCTGTCTATTTGTCTTGTCAATACGAATAATTTTTGACTTATTAAATATCTGAAAGCTCTTTTAGTAAATTTTTTCAAAAAAAATGTTTAAGATGGTAAATTGTTATGTGAATTTTACCACAATAAAAAAATCCCAATAAAACAGAATACATAGGCCGGGCACGGTGGCTCACGCCTGTAATCCTAGCTCTCTGGGAGGCCAAGGCGGGCGGATTGTTTGAGCTCAGGAGTTCGAAACCAGCCTGAGCAAGAACGAGACCCTGTCTCTACTAAAAATAGAAAGAAATTAATTGGACAACTAAAAATATATAGAAAAAATTAGCCGGGCATGGTGGTGCATGCCTGTAGTCCCAGCTACTCGGGAGACTGACAGGAGGATTGCTTGAGCCCAGGAGTGTGAGGTTGCTGTGAGCTAGGTTGACGGCACTCACTCTAGCCTGGGCAAAAGAGTGAGACTCTGTCTCAAAAAAAAAAAACAAAAAAAAACCAGAATACATATAGTGAAGAAGAAATGAAGTTTAAGCCAAGTAGACTATTATTTTGAATATCACAGTGGGAAATCTATACTTAATTCAGTGGACAGTTGAGAACCACTGAAAAGAACAGTGATATGATCTGAACTCTTTTGATGGATGTCAGCGGTATCCTGAGAAGATAAAATTATCTATTACCATCTTCTCACACCCTTCTCTTAATTCCATTTTCTCTCCACCCCTACTTCTCAATACACTGCACTTAATATTGTCATAAGCCAAATAAGACCTGAAATAAGAATATTGAAAACATGATTAAAATACACACACACAGAAACTAAAGCATGTGACTTTTTTTTAAATGAATGATAATTATCCCTTTGTATCTTTGGGTAGATATAAAAGTTCAACAAAATTCTGGCCAGGTGTGGTGGTTCTCACTTGTAATCCTAGCTACACGGGAGGATTGCTTGAGGCCAGGAGCAACATGGCAAGAACCCCATTGCCCCGGGAGTGGTGGCTCGCACCTTTAGTCTCAGCCACGCTGGAGGGTAAGGTGGGAGAATCCCTTGAGGCCAGGCTGGTGACCACTCTGGGCCATATGGTGAGACTCCGTTTCAAAAAAATCCTGGCCAGTTTCTAGGCTAAGTAGTCTCGCATTGAAGGTACTCAACTATTATAATTATCTATAGATTAACAGCGTAAGATCAAACGAGTTCTAAAAGTAAAAAATGACTTAGTTTTTTGGGTAAACCAGACTCTCCTTTTTTTTTACATGTAGCCCCTCTGTCGGGCCTCGATAATGTCAGTATTTAGGCGGAAAAGCAGGTAGCGGGTGGTGGTGTGTTTTTATGCTGACTTAACCATTCCAAGTATCCACAGTCTGGTTTTGTTGAGGTTCTCGGCCAAGATTAATTCTGCATGGAAAAGGGTGTGGTTCGAACGGCTAGAATGTGACAAACGAAACAAAAGTTTACCAACAGACGTCGGTGACGAGAGTCTTCGCGCAGCGGGGTCGGAATCTCTGGGAGGCCACGGTTGGCCTGTGCGCGCCCAGCTGGGAACCAATAAAGTTGCGCGTGTTCAAAGGGGGCCTAATCGTCCCAGGGCCTGTTGGATAAGCCTGCAAGATAAAACTCCTAGAAACTCCCTGAGGTTTTCAAGTCTTCTCCTTTTCCTCGGTTTCTTTCTTTCTTTTTTCTTTTTTTCGCATTCGCACTACTTTTGTCCTGAGGAGAACGGCGCGGGCCAGGCCAGGCAAGCGCATTTTGAGTGCAGCTGGCCCGGCAATCACGGCGGGCAGCCCCACGGGGACCCCGGATCATGTGGAGCTGGCGGCCCGGGATGTGGCCTGGGAGACAGACGCGATGAAGCCCAGACCCACCGGATTCGTGGATAATAAACTCAAGCAGCGAGTCATCCAGGTGTGTATCTTGCGCAGCTCGGCCTCACGAGGGCCCGGGCGCTGCCCCAGGGTGCTGCTGCCCCTTTTTGGGCACCTTGCAGGTCGAACCCGACTAGCTCTGGGTTCGGGCGAGGGTCTGATAGACTCCAGGGCTAGCGGTGCGGGAACCTTTGCTTCCCACCGTGGGGCGAAGTCTCAAGGGGGAACCCCGGCGGGTAGGAGGGTGCAGCCTGGTTGGGTTTCGGGTGTCCGGTCAATTTCAGTGCAGATCATTCGGCACCGCGGAGTTAGCCTTGGCATTACAACTCTTTTGTTTTGTAAAGTCGGGACGGAAACATTCCTCTAACTCCCGCGTGGTACGAGCCCCTTTGGGAGGCCCTTAAAGAATACGTTAATTTCCGTTCTCAAGGAACTTACATGTAGTAAAAATAGAAAATATGGCTCTGACATTAGGATAGGCACTTTGTTTACGGTTTTCTCATTTTCGTAACCATCAGTAGAAAGCAAATGTGGCAAATGCCTTGGAATGGTACGGTTAGCAAGCAGTCTGAGTTGAAAGGAGGGAGAGATTTTTCTTCATTTTGGTGTTTGTGAGCTACGCATTCTCTTTGTTTTTCTTTTACGTCACTGGCCGTTAAACAATCTTTTTGGATTCATCTCTTTCTACCAACTTCTAAATGTTGGAAGTACCCCAGGATTCTGTCTTGTTACATACTCTTCATTCTCTGTCCTTATACTTCTCCTCTCCTGGGTGATCTCATCTAGGCTAACACCTTTGAGACAGGGTCTCGCTCTGTCGCCTGGGCTGGAATGCAGTGGCATCATTGTAGCTCACTGCAACCTCTGGACTCGAGTAATCCACCGGCCTCAGCCTTCGGAGTAGCTGGGACTACAGGTGTGTACCACCATACCTGGCTAATTTTTTAAAAATTTTTTGTAGAAGTAGGGTCTTGCTCAGAGTGGTCTGGAACTTCTAGCCTCAAGCAATACTCCTGCCTTGGTCTCCTAAAGTGCTCCCAGCCTAACATTTTCTTTTGAATGTGTGATAGCTATCTCCAAGTTAATATGTCCAAATGGAACTTGTGGGGTTTTTTCCCTCCAAACATGTCCTTTCCTAGTGTTGTGTATCTCAGTAAGTGATACTACCATCCATCCAGTTGTTAAGCCCAAAAGCTTTAAGGATCATTCTGACTCCTTTCTTTCATCTCCTGTATCCAATCCATCAACAATCTGTTTGGCTTTACCTTCAAAATAATATATACATATAT